ACAGACACGTTGTTCTTTGTTTACTTCAACTTAAAGTTTAGGGATAGGACTTGTGACACACACCATAAACATTGCTCTCATCAATCCCCACAAGTGTTGTCCTTAAGTAAGCGTGTACAGTTGTGGCTAAAATACATTTTGCAACCCATAATCTATAGCAAAGTCTTCGGTGATCTAAACAGACCATTCAAAATCCAATCATTAACAATGTTTAAATGTATAGCTATGATTGAAATGAAAGAGTAAAAATCGTACATGTATGAATTTTAATCATTCAAGTAAGTATAAATGTATATAAAAATAGTCCAACATTCATTCAAATGTCCTGTGTCCTTTGAAATTGAATAGCTATTTTTTTAAAGTTCTTGGTAGTGAGAGTGAATGTCACATCAGAAATTCTGACATTTTAATCACGCTTCTTTCCAAAAGATTAACATTCAATCCAAGTGCATAAATGAATTCTCTTCACTTACACCCACTACAGTATATGTAGTCATTCCAGTTTTAATTCTTCTGTCTGCTTAAAAATTTAATTCAGTTCTGCAGCGACGAAATGGAATGGATTGAAGCTTGACTTAACAGAAGTTGAAAGTGAAGCTTATTTCTTGTTGGAATAAACCATCAGAAAGAATAACATACCCAGGTAAGAGTTAGTATGTCATCCTAAAAGGTCATAACTAGAACTTTACGAGCTGGATTTTTGCCCAAGGAATTGGAAATTGAAACAACTACAAAAAAAAGACCTACAGTAGAGAATGACTGGGCATTGCACACTATAATTTTAAGTCAAAGAGGGAGCTTTTTGTAGGATAACTCAGCATCTGGAAAGGATAGAAAAAGCTGTGGATAGTTTGATTTCAGAACTCAGCCTATCACTGTTAAGCCAGTGTAGTCACACAACTGAGGTAGGTTGTACAAGTGTCCCTGCTCGTCCTGTCAGGGGGTGTCCAGTGTGCCTTTATAATACCTGCTTTATAATACCTTGGAGCCGGAACAGCTGTGACTACAAAGGTGAGGCGTCTTCCTCCAGGGCTCCGCCTCCACACTAGACACACCCCTGCCTAATGCCACAATATACACTACTATTCAAGCTAGGAAGTCAGTGATGTGACATGTTTACTATACGTTTCTACTTCCTATGTAGCAATTCTGTTGCAATTGTCAGTGTTAAATCTCTTTGGCCTAGTGTATGACCGATCCATGATTTATGTTTGTAAGACGCTTCTCACTGCTGGCTCATCCCTTTCATTTTGAATCATCTGCAAATTTTTGTATCATCTGTAAATTCAATTAATTTCTCACTATACCAAAGTCTAAACTTTTAATCTAGGTCAGAAGGTACAATGGTTTTAAAATTGATGCCTGTTTTACACCTTAAATTGACTAACATCAGCCGATTTAGAAGCTATTGTATGCTCATTTAGATGACTTGCAGTTTCCTACATGTTACCCAGTTTTCAATTCATGTACCTTCATTCAATCTGTGTGCATACAATGACTGTCATTGTGGCAAAAAGTTCAACTTTTGACCCATTTGGTCAGAGAGCATTCCTCCAGTAGTCTTGTGAATCATACAGGTACATTTTGGTGGAGCTGAAATGGGTGGCAATGTTCTTTTTAGAGAGCAAGGTTTCCGCCCTGGCTATCCCCCGATAAAATTCATTTCTGTTCAGTTTTTTCCAGAGGGTTGAGGCATGAACGCTGACATTAGATGCATCAAGAGAGGCGGGAAGATCCTTAAATTGTTTGGTCTGTGACGTCCTGGATGATTTTTCAGGTGACTCTTCAGAGATATTGTCAGTATGACCGGTCCCGATTAGAGTCACTGCTGTGGTTTTGAATACTTTCCAGTTTTAAAATGTCTGACAGTTAGTTGATGGAACTCCAAATGTTTAGATATGGTTTTCCGATCCTCTCCAGACTGATGATCATTAACTGCTATTTTTCTTAGGTATTCTGAAATCCCTTTTGATATGGCAGGAAGTGTTTCTACTAATCTGTATAGTGAGGACCAAACTCAGATTCAATCCTTGTGTACCTATTATTGTTATTGTTTATTTGGTAAATATAACCCATTTTGGTTGTTTAAGAAAAGACTAATTTTGATCAAACAAGGGTATCATGGTAAGAAATTATAATTCCCCTAATTATATTGGGGGTGTACAAATTCTTTCTTGGCACTGGTATTGACAAAACAACATTTTGGCTCTGTGTTTTACTACATGTAAAATGTGTAAAAGCAGCTATCACAGGGACTAAAAGAAGCTGAAAATTGTTGTTGAATCATTACATCTGAATTCTCACTGGGTTACTGTAAAATGGATTAAGAAACATTTATCTATTCCAGCCTTCTTTTAAAGTGAAACACTAGCTTGAGGCATCAAGACTCTTAACTGCAGTGAAACGCTTGGTTTTGATTGCGATTAAATACCATTACAGCTTTCCCTTTCCATGTCTGTCATTAATTCTTGGTTTAACCTATAAAGTGAGCCTCACCCATTATGCACTCAGGATGATTTTAGGTCATCTGCTTCAGATTAGTTAACTCAGGGTTCAATGTTTTCTTATTGCCTAGTTGGAGGACACTCTCAAAAATGTAAACTTGATCATTTTGCTATATATAGTATAGTTTTCATGTATTTTATATTATTTACATTAATATAAAAAATGACAAATGCCAACAGCTTATCCATATTAATGATTTAGAGTGTGTGAATAACTACATATACAGTACACATACTGATATAATAGGGTGTTCCGGACTATTTTCCTTCAGTATCCAATAATCACTTAATCCAATACAGGGTCATGGCTACAGCTTAACCCAACATACATTGGGCACAAATTAGGGGACATTCTGGTTGGGATGCCATGTATTTGTGGTAGACACAAATACATATGTACAGAGAATTTTTTAGGTGCCAGTTAACCTATAAAGCATGTCTTTGGACTGTTAACTGTCTTGGACTTGTAAAACACTTCGACTTTGGTGTCTCTACTGGCTTCACAACCCTCAGTACAGCACAACCTTGCTACATGTTCATCTACCGTTATAGATATAATATTCCTTTCCTCCGAAAGGTGTAGAACATATGAGCATCATTAACAATACAACAATATAATTAGACTAGATACAGAGTACATATTTTGTGCTGCAATCTAGTCAATGAAATCTACACTTAACCTTGAGTACTCAAGGGTAAAATATGTAAGTCGATTTTAATAATTATTAATAGTTCCTTCCACTTACATAATGTTTTTCTGGACACTTCTGGACACCTATTCTTTTTGAGAAATGCCTTGGGATTTTAAATGACCACAGAGAGTGAGGACATCAGTTTTGCATCTCATCCGAAGGACAGTGCCCTTTTGCAATATAGTGTCCCCGTCACTATACGGGGCCCAATAGCCCAATTAACACCTCTTCCAGCAACAACCTTAGCTTTCCTAGGAGGTCTCCATCCAGGTACTGGCCAGCCTTGCACCTGCTGAGAATCAGTGAGGTGCCAGTTGTGTGTTGCAGGGTGATATAGCTGCTTATTTCAAACTATTTAAAAAAATTACAAAATAATTTTAATGTCTAACCACATTTCCTCAACATTTCCTGTCCATTTAAAATATATCAATACAAGGTTCACAAAGGGAACTGACACATTTCTCCTCAAACCAAGTGCAAACATACCATTTTATACTATTGGAATCCTTTTCTTAGAAATTATAGCCTGTTGCAATATGGAGAAATGAAACAAGTGTACAGGTGTAAACTGAGAACAAAAGGCAGAATGGCAAATTTAGCAACTTGAGATAGAACATGAGTTGATGAACACAGACATTAAAAATAAACACAGTATTTTTGATACCAGGTCTGTAGGCGATGTGTACCCCTGTTTTGGATTATACAGTCTATTACTACTGTAATTTTTTGTGCCAACTATTTCAAGCAGGCTGTTACAGAGGGTTTAAGTTCAAAACTGTGAACCCACTGTTAAGTTTTAGCTCTGGAGGATAAGAGGCAATAAGCGCTAAAAGATAAACTAATCATCTTAAACCCATAATTATAGGAGGTATCTTAGTGTGACAGGCTGTTTATTGGAACCAGTTGAATTGAGCTTCAAATGAAAAAGGCATATCTCTGGAAGTGGTAATAATTTTAGTCATCTCGGCCTGGCTAGGGGTGGCAGAATTCATTAGTGCAGATTAACATACTATGTACAAAGTGGATGAGATATCTAATGGCAAACGTAGAGGTCTGGGGACTGTTAATTTACTACTGAATGTAAGGAATGAATGATGGCATGGACTTGCGCGCACACACACACACACACACATACATTTATATATAAAGGCTGAATTACTTTTGAGAATAGATTTAAAAATAAATCTGAAATGAAGTATGTGTTGGCAATAACAACCAGTTACTAGGAACTAACTAAATAAAAAGCATTACATTGATGACAACTATAAACCTTTGATACTGTATGTAGAAGGCTGGATTTTTTAGGGAAAATTCAACAACTATTTAGCAAACAATTTCTTTGCATCTTTGCCTGATAAGTTACTGATATTGATTGTCATTTGCCCTATCTCACTAAATAGGAATTGTAAATACAAATAAGTATAATGTGAGGACAATTGGAATTAATTGCTTCTTTTCAAGACAGAAAACATTTACATGATGTGAGCAGTATAAAGACTGTACTAAAAACAGAAGATGAATGCGATAATCTAGCAAATGTTTTTTAACAATACTACTGTACTAAGGCATCCATCCATTCATTTTCTAACGGCTTTATCCAATACAGGGTGATGAGGGTCATAGCCTATCCCAGCTCTGACTCCCTCATCACCCTGTAACAGGTGCAAGCCTTGATACACCCCAGATGGGATGCCAGTCCATCTCAGGGCAGACACAGACATAAATCCAGACATGGAAACACACTCATACCAGAGCCAATATTCCAAGATGCCAATTAACCTGCCAGTATGTCTTTAGGCTGTGATAGGAGACTGGAGCCCCTGACAAAAACCCACGTGAACCATCGGAGAATATATAAACTCTGCAGATAGCACCCAAGACCCGGAATTGAAACCAGGGCCCCAGCACTGTGATGTAATACAGCAATGCTAACCACTGTGCCATCAACCCATCCCTCATATTTGTATATTGAAAGAGCCCATTCACATTATTACTGTATTACTGACTTCCAATGCAAATATTGTTTTGGTTTGAAAATCAGAAAATTGTCCTGAATTCACAAATTCAAGAATGCATGTGAAAATAGTTCATATTGCAAATTCTACAATAAGAGAAACATTACTGGTATGCCTGTGGTATTTATTGTTTTTCTTGGTGCTAGAGTGCTCACATTCATACTTATTTGATTGTAATGGTAGGAAATTATCTGTAGTTTAACTTTTATGATATTTTCTGTTTTCTATTCATTCTGAATTTCTAAGGGACAAAGACATCCAAATTGCAACTGTCCATCAAGGGCTTAGCAGTAAAAATACTCTTCTACTGTAATGCTGTTTTATCTTCTAAAAAAAAACAATTACTTACTTCCTTTTCTTTTAATTGCCCCAGATGGGAAATTTTCTTTGCAGGCAGGTAAAAGACATAATACAATACACAGACCATTTTACACAACATGAACCCATTAACAACTAAGAGAAATATGTGTATCATGAGAAAGAAAATATATAAATGATGCAAAATATACAGTTGATTATCCAAATTAAGCAGGTCAATAGCCTTTGGAATAAAGAATAACTTAGTTCAATTGCACCTGAATCTGGGTGTAAATCGATGCCCAGATGGAAAGAGCTCAAATTCACTGTGCAAGGGGTGGTCGTGACAGTCAAAGATTATATTGGCCTTCCATACTATTAGTTTGACGTATAAGTCTGACAGTTGTACTGTTGCCATTTTGCACCAATAGTTTTGCTGGCTACCTTTACTATCCTGCTCAGTCTGTTTTTATTGAGTGTATTAACATACTAAACTAGGCTACCACACAGAATGTTAGGACAGATTCAATAAAAGATCTTTAAGATTGTATTGTACTACACACTTTAACAGTGTTTTCTCAAGAACAACAGTTGCTGTCTGCTTTTTCTACATATGGCATCTGTGTTTTCCTCATGGGCTAGCTTGTAATCAACAATACTGACAATATATTTGTAACTGTTGACATTTTCAATTTCTTGCTCATTAATAACTGTTGGTTTTGTATCTTTGGTTGTTTTCTGTAATAAATGATCATATCTTTGATTTCTGACACCTTTTGTGGAAGAAATTAGTTCTTAAATCCCTCACAGGCCCATGATCAGTGTCTACCCCTTGGAAGAAACAAAAACAAAGTCAACTGCAAAAGTCAATAGCAAACATCCCTTAGGAGACCCTGTGGAAGAACAAAGGTACTGTGATTTAAGACCATTTACCAGTACTCTTTGTGATCGGTTGCTCTAAAAGTCTAATCTTCATCTTCATCATCTTTCACTCCGCTTTTAGTCCTGTAGGCACATTATAATGGGCTCTACCTGGCGAAGGACATGACTTTAATTACTGAAGAGGTCAGTTCCTCTTGTCTGATATTATTTAATGTCTTGGGAGATATATGTTTTGCAACTGATATGGTTGTTGCCTGTTTACAAATTTTAGTTACTTTCTGCTGTGTATGTTTGAAAAATGTAATTAAATATAGTACTGAGCTGCTCAGCACATTACCTCAGTACCTGCCCACTGATGTTATCAGGTCCAAGACTTTCCTGACTTTTGTTTCCTTGAAAATGTTTGAAACACACATTGTTTTTCTGGTTTAAGCTCTAACTTCAGATCTGATTTCCCTCTTAACAGTCACATTACCCTGTTGGTGTGAAGCAATGTACTTGTGGCTCTGTAGGCTCTTCAGTGATTTGTTTACCCAAGGCTTATTATTTGAATGAACTTACAGGGGTTTCATAGTAAAGATATATGACTAGAAATCACATCTGTAAGTTCGTCTAATTGTCACAAGATTCTAAAAATCATCCCTGTCCTAATTAACAAGTACAATCAAAACAGCCCTGCAAACGCTGTGTGCTGTCGTTTGGCCAGACCTTGAGTTGCTGCATTGTGCTTTCTCCCTGTCCAGTGCTGTGTAGGTTGGCAATAAGAGCACAGAGTTGTGGTCGGATGAGCCAAGCAAAGGCTTCAGAGAAGCCTTGTAATGCCCCTCTGATTGAGCCATAGCACAGATCCAGGGTTCTATGTTTATTGTTTTATTGTAATAAAGGAACACACAAAGTGATGTCTGCCATGTATTTCATTAACCTCACAAAAATATAAGTAATCAAAACGTT